TTGCCTAAAAGAAGGGGACTGGGGAGGGCTGCCCAAACATGATAAGCAAGTGGGGCACGTGCACCTCGTCCATCCAACACAAGTACTGATCGAAATCTTCTCTATCCAGAAGGATGACATATTACAGTGGAACCAACAACCCTTTATATGGACAGAGAAAAAGGATGTATATCGCATTCGGGTACTTGATGATGGAAGAGGATGGAGGGCATACCGACCAATGACCCTCATCGAAGATCTCCCTTCCGACCCCGAGGAATGGAGATGGTCTCAGGAAGCTAGGATCCGTAGGGGGAAGGCAAAGACATTAACACTAGTCAATCTAAAATCTAAATCGGCTTACCGAATGCTCCGGCCCAAACGTAGACTGCGAGAGTTAGTAGAAGACAGATGGTACCGCCACCTCAATATAGCGCGAAGGTTGCTCAAACCCATTAGATGGTTCGCTCACTATGAAAAGAGACCAGACAAAAATCTTTGCCCTGCAGTGGCAAACAGAACATCAATGCCTGCCCACCAATGATTGGCTAATAGAGCACACACACCTAGAACAGCAGGGACGAGCATTACCGTGGTGCCACAAATGTCTCCAGTGTTATACCCCGGGCGGAAGCGCGCTGAGACAATAGAACACATCTTCCTCCAGTGCCCGACAGTGGTATTACTGTGGAGAAGCTGGGATAGGATTTGGCGGCATATTGTTCCAGCAGCGTTGTGGCCATGGGACTGGAGGGCCATACTCCTGGGGTACTACCCCCAGATCCAAGGGAATACATTTGAGGATAATATGTTTCACCTAGGAAGACACGCTGACCTATGGGTCATATGGTGGAGGAGATGCACCCTAGAGGTGGAAGGAGCAAGGGTGGAGGATGGAGAGGCCACGGAACACCTACGGCTATTAGTACAGCACGAACTCACAGCCCAGTGGAGGGCGGCAAAAGACAAACTCGATCAAATGCATACTCGGGGAGATATTAACCGAGTCATCTCCCGCTTTGGCAAAGACAGGCTGGGAGGGGAAAGGGGGGGATGGGTGGCGGAGGTAAGGTGGGCCGGGGATCAGCAATTGGAGAGAGATGTGCAAGAGGAACACCCGGTAGAGATTGAAAGAGATTATCGGCTGGTCTTTCACGAATGGACTTAAGGTAGATCAGGGAGACCCGTTACGTCCCGCCCAGGATTTTGCAGACCCCTTCCTCCCCCACCTTGTTAGGAAGTGCCACCTGAGTCATGAGCTTGATCAGTCTTGTTCAGTCTTCCTTCAGTCTTATGAGTTTGTTCAGGTTCAGTTTTTTTGTTCAGTATTGTTCAGCCTTCCTCCATGAGCTTGATCAGTCTTGTTCAGTCTTCCTTCAGTCTTATGAGTTTGTTCAGGTTCAGTTTTTTTGTTCAGTATTGTTCAGCCTTCCTCCAGTCTTACTGCAGTCCATTTCAGTCTTACTTCAGCCTATCCAGACTATTCATATTCCTATTGCTGCAAGACTTCTTAGTCCTTTCCGGTCCTTTCCGGTTCTTTTCACTTCTTTTTACTTCTTTTTTTAATTCTCATTTTACCTGCACCACGAAGACAGTAGATGGTGGGTAGGGGCTGGGTTTCGGAGGGAGTCTCCACCGGTGCCCCCCGCTGGCCCCCCCCCTACAACCCACCACACCTCAGGTTAGGAAGGGATGTTATAATCCGTACATGGGACACTGGACCCGGTTTCCAGCACTGTGGTGTCAGGCTCAATGGTTGAAAAAGAGAAAGATGTATCTATGGGACGCTGGACCCGGTTTCCAGCAGGTGAGGCTCCCCACCAATAGATGGAGCGGTCCACCAGACAAAGCCTCAATCACGGTGGTTCTCTTACCACCACTGCGACTCAGGGGATAGAGCAATTAAACTGAGTCTGGCGAAAAATGGCAAAAGTAAGGGTGCCAAAAACGAGTTAGTGGCCTACTGCATCCTATACGTCACACAGACCCTAAACCCTACGAAAACCTTAACCCTACTGTCGGGCCCTGCAGGGCCCGTGTGGAACTGAGTATGCCACACAGGCCACGGCCCCCAATCCCGACGGGGTCACGTCAACAGGGAAAATAGGCTTTGTTTTGTTTTTTTCTTTGTCCTTTGGAACATCTGTTTCTTTGCTGTTGTTGTTTTTTCCCCATAGAAATGATGCAGTTTATATTATAAAGGTAACCAATTGAGGCTGGGAATCCCTCAACATCTGAAACCGGAACATCTGTTAAAATTGAAACGGTACAGAGAAGATTGGCATGGCCCAGCACAAGGCTGACGCACCTAAATTGAGAAATAGGATTTTTCTGTTTTTATCTTCTCTTTTTGGCCATTCATACCACCCAGCCCGCATAGCATCGCCAACATGCCGCACACTGGAGGAGGGGAGGAGGAAGGCGAGAAGAGAGAGGGAGAGAAAGGGCAGGAGACAGGAGGAGGACGACCAAGACGAGAAGAGAGAGAAGAAGATAGGAGGAGGAGGAGGAAGATAAGGAGAGAGAGGCAAGGAGAAGAAACATAACGGCGAAAAAAATGAAAAGAAATGGCCAAGCACACCGCGGGCACACAGATCAAAGCAGTCAGGAGGAGGAGGGCAATGATGATGAGGAGGTGGAGGACAAGATGTGATATCAGGAAGCCGAGGAGGAGGAGGTGTGAGACAAGGAGGTAGAGGAGATAAGAGGGTCGGGATCGGTGAGAATATACAATCAGGAATAAAATGGGACTAGCGGATGAAGGGTTGACATGGGTCGCCATGAGAGAGAGGGAGGATGAGTCGATCAAGGGTCCAGATAGGATGGGAGGACAGGACAGTTGGGACCGCTGGTGGTTGGTCCGGAATATTTGCGGTGCCGGAGAGCACAGAAACGGTGACGAGCATGTAAAGGAGCAAGTGAACACATCGGGATAGGCGGATGGAAGGTAGAGAGGGGGGGCGGATAGATGGGGAGAGAAAGAGAGACACAGAGAAAGAGAGACGGAGAGAATGAGAGAAGGTCGCGATGCAAGGTATGTGCATAAGGAGATCCAAATGGGTGGTGCATGTGTGCCCTTTCATGCACGTTCGTCATCAAGGCATCTGCATGGATAAGAGAACACATCTCCAACGGTACCAAACACATTGATTCAGTAAATACTCGCATGGAATTTTGAAAGAGGGCATTACGAGTAAACGAAGAGGAAAAAGCAAAAACGAAAAAAGACACTGAATAAAGGATCTGTGTGTATGTGCTTGAGAAATAGAGAAAAAGAGAGGAGATCACTGTGCTTGCTCTCTGCTTCATGAGACCCGCCAAGCGACGGGAGCACGACAAGGTGTGCCGCACTTGTGTTACGTGTAGAGACAACAGGAGAACGGAAGAGCTCGGCAAGCTAGAGAGAAGTACTTCATTCACTTTGTGTGCAATTCCTGTAACATACACTACGACTACATTTCTACATTCCTTCCTTTTTTTTTTTTCTTTTTTTTTTTCTTTTTTTTTTTCCCTACATTTCTACATTCCTAGATTTCAACTTCCTTCCAGATTTCTTGAATGTTCCTTCCAACCTTTTTTTTTTTTTTTTTAACTCCTCCATTGTGTTGCATACTGAATTGCTTCATCACATGATTCAATACGAATCACTATGGGCTTGAGTGCCGACTGTTACGAACATACGGGCACGAGGCAACACTAGGTGAGTGAAACATTGGAGATAGGTCGTACCACATCAATTAACAAGAAAGCAACACTACGGCTTAGCAGATCCCTCCTTTTCTTTTGCCACATATCGATTAACCAAAAAGAGACAGTATAGCTCCACAGATCTCTCCTCTTCTTCGCATTGAACAGATGGAAGAGAGGGCGCGAGCAGGCAAAGATGAAACGGCATATTGCAAAGACGACTAGCATCACATTATCCCTAAAGCTTCAACCGCAGGGGGAAGGAGGAAGGGGGGGAGAGGTTGCCCAACTACTTATGAGATAACCCTTCCAATACGTCGAAACAAAGGGAGAGAAAGAAGAGGGGAAGATAAGGCCTTTGGCAACAATCTACGCAGGCAACACATGCATTAAGAGTACTTAGAAAACAAAAACAACGGCAACAACCAACAGCTTGACAAAAGATCCATCCAACCCAGGCGATGCGACGCAATAAACACATTGTGGAGATTGGCGTAACGGCCCGACATGAACACAATCATGATGAAATCAGATGGATCCAGCCATCTCAGGGGCTACCCCCCTATATAGAAGGAGAAACAGGAAAAGAGAAGGGTAAACAAACACAAACAAAAAGTTTAAATATAATGGAAGAGCGTGATCCACGCAAGGAACCGCAAGATCGGGGATTGCAATTAAGCACTCTTGTTGACAACGGTAGAAGAAGACGCAGAAAGATGTGGTGTGTGGGTGATACTCCAGACAGCATCCCCAATGTATACTCGTAGTAGAAGTGGCAGCAGCAGCCACAATTTCCTTTGTGCAAAAGAGAGCAATTGTAATAAACGAGAACGTCATCAAACATTATAGTGAACCAAACATGTTTTTTTATTCAATAAAAACCAAAATCCTGTCCGCAGGACAAGTGAAATTATCGAGTCATAATATGTACAAAATTGGAGAACAAATCAAGGAGGCAGAAATATACCCAACATCATTTCCTTTCTATTGTTTGCCGCTCCTAATTCTTCACTAGCAGTTTTTCTCATCTTCTTCCCCTCCTTTTCCCCTCCCATCCTTTTTCTCCCTTTCCCCCCTATATTTCCTCCTTTTCCTCCCACCCTCTCCTATAACCTTTTCATTCCTTCACGCCGCCTTTCTACAGGTGGCTCCTCATCTACCCCTGTCTCTTATACACATCTAGATGTGTATAAGAGACAGGAGAGAGAGAGAGAGAGAGAGAGAGAGATGACTCGA